CTCAGGGACTAACAGCATGGAGCAGAGATGGGGAGCAGCCTCGGAAAGGAAAGCAAGCTCGTACTGCCTGTCCTCTAGGACGTCACTGCCAAGGGCAGGAGCACCCCCGACGGACGGACGACGGGCAGGGTCAAGGGTCGGTAACAAGCGAGGCAAGAACCCGAGGGACAAGGGGACGAGCAGCACGGAGGTAGTCAGAGAAAGGAGGAGGTGCAACAGGAAGGGACGTGGGAGGAGGGGACGGGAGGAGGGGAGGACGAGACGAGTGGGAACGGAGCAACATAGGGTGGGAGCGCAGGACAGGAGAGACGGGACGAGCACGGGAGGGACGGCGAGCCCAAATGTGAGACGGAGGTGTAGGGTCAGGGGACAATGGAGGAGACACATGAGGGGAACGAGGAGGAAGACGGGCCGGAGACGAGTCTGGCGGCGGGAACACAGGACCGTAGACAGGAAGGTCAGCAGGTGGTGGGGGAGACACCGTCGCACGGTCCGGGGAGGGAAGGCCGAGCAGGCGGAGAGCGGAGACCGGCGGCGACGACGGCTGGGCCGGAACCCTCGGACCAGGAGAGGCAGAACGACCGTCGGCAGAACACTCAACAGCAGCACCCCCAGAACCAACACCCCCAGAGCGAGAACCCCCTCCAACACCAGCGGCACCCCCAGACGCCGCAGGACGAACACCCTCCTCCACACCAGCACCCCCAGGGGCCAAGAGCGGCAGCGGCAGTGGCGGCGACGACTGCGGCGGCGACGGCGGCGGCGGCTGCAGCGGGGTCGGCGACTGCGACAGTGGGGGCGGAGGCACCGGGGAAGGGGGATGCGGCAAGGACAGACCGGGGGTACCACCAGAGTCAGCAGACTGCTCAACGGGGACAACCGACGGGAGGGGAGTGACGTAAGAGACACCAGACGGGGCAGGACGAGGCGCGAGAGGGGCAGGGGCTACCGGGGGAGAGGGAGCAAAGAACAGGGGGGGGGGCAACTGGGAGACCTCGGTGAGGGAAGCGGCGGTAGAAGGAGACCGACTCGTCAAAGGTGACGTCACGAGAGTGGAGGAAGCGGTGAGACGGCGGGTGATAGAAAAGATAGTCAGACGAGTCCAGGGGGAAACCGAGGAAGACACAGGGGACAGTGCGGGCAGTGAGCTTGTCCGTGCCAGGGGCACGAACGTGAGCAAGGCAGCCCCAGACGTGGAACGCAGACGCGTCACCGGGGGACCCGGTCCAAAGGAGGGTTGGCGAAACCTGCGGCCGCTGGGAGCGTGGCCACAAGTTAAGCTGGTGAGTAGCGTAGCGAACAGCGAACGGCCACAGAAAATGGGGGGCATCGGCATGGATCATGGAGGTACGGGCGACCTCCATGACCAAGCTGATGCGGCGCTCAGCAACCCCATTCTGCTGTGGCGAGTCCGGCAAGGTGTACGACTGGGTGATGCCCTCCGCACGATAGAACTGTCCAAGTCGACCAGAGGCGAACTCGCCGCCACGGTCAGAGTGGAGACACAACACGGGGAGACCGAGGTGGAGACGTGCAGCCACAACCCACGGGAGAAGAACGTCGGGCACGTCGGCCTTCCGCTCCAGGGGAAACAACGTGGTGTAGCGCGTGTAGTCGTCGACGAGCACAAGGAAGTAGCGCTCACCGCGCGGTCCGGGGACGGGGGCAGGGCCCCAAACGTCCAGGTGCAGGGTCTGAAGGGGGCCAGTAGCCGGGCGCAGCGAGGAGGAGTGTGGGGCACGGCGGAGCCGGCCCTCGACGCAAGGCGTGCACGGTGGCGCAGTCGAGGGAGGAAGGGCGGGGAGCGACACAGGGAGACCTAAGACAAGGCCGTGCTGGGACATGTGATGCAGACGAGGGAGAGCAGGGTGACCTAAGCGGTGGTGCCAGAGAAGGGACGGGTGAGTGAGGGAACGACACGAGCAAGCTGCAGCAACCTGGGAGGACGCACCAACCGGAGGGGAAGCGGTGTCTAGGGTAAACAGACCGGACACCGGGTCCCGGGGGAACGTCGCAAGGGGGGAACCTGAGACAGCCTCAGAACAGACAGCGAACCGCTCGTGCCCGGGGAACGTGGTGGTGACGCCAAGGTCCTGGAGACAGCCGACACCAACCAGGTTCCTCGAGAATGAGGGAACGTGGAGGCCTGTAAGGGAGCCCGAGGGCACTGCTGGACAGGGAAGGGACGTAGAACTGCGAGCGACGACAGGACCCGCAGAGGGGTCAGCGAGAGAGACGACAGCTGGCGTAGCAAGCGGCGTGAGCGCGGAACAGTCGCGGAAGAAGCAGGCAGAAGCACCGGAGTCGAGAGTGAAGGACAGCGCCGCAGTGGCGGGGGCAGGGAACGGAGCCGGTGCAGAGACGAGGCTAGACAAACTAGGCAGTCCTACGCCTCACGCAGCAGGGGAGGCTAGGCTACACAACGGTGCAACACCTAAACTAGAGAACACAGGGTAATAAGATCCAGCAACACTAGCAGCATCAGAATACAAGGCATGCAAAGCAGCACCTATCTGATCCATATCTAACTCAAAGATCGGCACGCCCTGGTGGAGCAGGCTGTGCCAGTCAGGGAAGTCCTGAGCCGCGCCAAAGCGACGACGAAAGAGATCATCGAGGCGGCGGAAACAGCGGGCAGTCGGGTGCGGGCGGCGGCACAGAGTGCCACGAAGGGGCCCGGTCTGAAGTTGGTACTGACAGGTGACAGCACCGGAGCCGCTGGTAGACGCCAAGCTGCGCGGGCCGCCACCACGGCCACCACCTCCGGAGGTGCCGGGCCAACCAGGCGGGAGGCGAGCCCACTGCTGCGGGGGCTGCGGCTGGGACGGCGGCTGCTGCTGGGACGACGGCTGCGGCGCGGGCTGCTCCTGCTGCGGCTGGGGCTGCTGATCCTGACCACCAACGCTAGTCCCCCCAGACGGACTACGCTGACGACCACCAACACCACTACCTGCGCCACCACCCCTACCACCCTGGCGACCATTGCCACCGCGGCGCGAGCGCTGCTGCGGGTGGACCGCAGCAGCCGTCTCAGTGAGGGGGGTCGCCATGGCGACCGCAGCCGAAACGTCAGTGAACGTGCACTGGGAGGGGGCACAGCCGTGAAAGATAGAGACTGCCGGCGCACCGCTCGACTGAGCGATAGTGCGCTGGCGAGTCTCGATCTCGGTGTCGGTGTCGACAAAGGCAGTGAGAGTGAGGTCAGCCGGGTGCAGGCTAAGGAAGTGATCGCGAGCACTAGCTAGGCGGTCCGGCAGGCGCATGGCGATAAAATAGAGGGTCATGCAGAATGGGGGGGGGAGAGCAGTGAGCTGGGCAGCAGTGCTGGCAGTGCGATAGCGAGTCTCTAGGGTACGCAGATGAGTGGCAAAGTCTGCGACGGTAGGGAAAGCTGCAAGGTCTGGGAAAAGCATAGGGAAGAGCAGGCGACTAGCAGAAGCAGACGCGGGTGTGGAATAGCGGGCAATAACAGTGTCTAAGTAAGCTTTGGCCATCTCAATAGTAGCACAACGCGAGCGCTCAGAGATAGGGAGGGCGTGGCTAATGGCAACCTGAGCGACTGCATCGCGGGAGTCCCAGACCACACGGGCAAGCGCAGCAGTAGAGAAGGTCTCACGGTCATCAGAGGAGGGATCAGTAGGGAGGGGAGCAGGTGCGGGGGGGCGGGGGAGCAAGCCGTCAACATGGACAACCAAAGAGTGGCCATCCTGGCGCTGACCTGTAAGGTGGCGGAGGAGATCGGAGAGCCAGGCGGCGAAGTCAACCGCATGGCCCTCGGCGTTCAGTCGGAGCACGAAGTCCGCCATCGTGCAGGGTCAGCGGCACAGCTCCACGGGAACACAGCGACAGCCCCCTCCAGCACGGCGGCCGTGAAGCGCCTCAGCACGGGCGAGCAGAGGAGACGGAGCCCGAGGCGGTACGACATGACGAGCCGGGGCGAAGGGGCCAGGCAGGTGCGGTGGGGCCTAGCAGGTGCTGGCGGGGCCAGGCAGGCGCGGCGGGGCTAGGCAGGCGCGGCGGGGCCAGGCAGGCGCGGCGGGGCCAGGCAGGGGCGGCGGGGCCAGGAGGCGCGGCAGGGCCAGGTAGGCGCGACGGGCCAGGCAGGGGTGGCGGGGCCAGGAGGCGCGGCAGGGCCAGGCAGGCGCGGCGGGGCCAGGCAAGGCGCGACGGGCCAGGCAGGGGCGGCGGGGCCAGGAGGCGCGGCAGGGCCAGGCAGGCGCGGCGGGGCCAGGCAGGTGCGGCGGGGCCAGGAGGCGCGGCAGAGCGAGGCAGGCGCGGCGGGGCAGGAGGCGCGGCAGGGCCAGGCAGGTGCGGCGGGGCCAGGCAGGCGCGGCGGGGCCAGGCAGACGCGACGGGGCCAGGAGGCGCGGCAGGGCCAGGCAGGCGCGACGGGGCCAGGTAGCGCGGTGGGGCCAGGACGGCGGGTGCTAGGAGGCACGAAGGGCCCAGGAGGGGCGCGACGGGCCAGGAGGCACGACAGAGGCCCAAGAGGGGCGCGACGGGCTAGGAAGCGCTACAGGGGCCCAGGAGGGGCGCGACAGGGCCTAGGAGGCGCGGCAGGGGCCCAGGAGGGGCGTGACGGGCTAGGAGGCGCGTTAGGGGCGCGACGGGGCCTAGGTGGGGGCGGCGCGACGGGGCCTAGGTGAAAGCGCGACGGGGCCTAGGAGGCACAGGCGGAAGCGGTAGGTGGGGGGGGGGGGGGTCGAACCTACGGGTGATACCATGTCGAGAAGAAAACTGAACAAGTATGTGATAGAGAGAGAGAACAAGGGTATATACCTAAGAGTGGTGTACCCTCTAAGAGGTGACCCTATACAGTCTATACAAATATGAGTCATACATATATTTGACACTTCCTCCTGCGTGAGCTACAGCAGCACGGCCAGGCACGCGTAGTACACTTGGCCTCCGATTCCAACATAACTGATAACTTTACGAAGGCGCTTGCGCCTAAATATCATTAGCGACACGGTGTACAGCTTGGTCTAGTTCCAGCAGCTACTGACTGACTTGCTAGGACCCTGATTGTGTACTCCTATTTATATTATCTTGACTGCCTCATGGTTCTTGTTCCGATGGCTGGACTACATATATGCATATGAAGCAGTTATTGGCTACAAGGGTTCGTGCTCTTAGAGAGCACAACACCCCCCATCATATATTCCCTTGTATCCCTCATTTCTATTTATTCCGCTACACTGAGCTGAGAGCACAGTCTTACAGGCAAGAAAGAAGCTGCACAATGAGAAGAGACAATGAATGGCAGTAGACCCAACTGCCGCAGAAGGCAACGCAAGGGACCAGAATGAATGGCAGTGAACCGATCAGCCTATGGGTCGGCATGTGAAACCGGAGGCAGCAACGCATGCAGCGCTCCAGTGTCGATGATTTCCCGCATGGCGTACGCCTCCCCTCTCTCCATCATCTCCTCTATCCACCTCCACGTGCGCGCGGGGGCGGACAAGGGGGGGTGCGACGCAATGGGAGAGACGGGTGGAGTGGGGGAGACGGGGGAGGAAAGAGCGGATGGTGGAGGGGAGCGGAAGGACGAGGAGGCGGAGGAGGATGGAGAGGGTGTGAGGGAAGCAGGGAGAGAGGAGGAGGATGATGGCCATGGCGCGGGTGGAGTGAGAGGGGTTGGGGGTAAGGCATCATCATCGTCCTCGCTGTAATGCTCGCTCACTAGCACCGGGTCATTGTCGTCATGCGTTCTCCTCCTCTCTGCTTTCTCCTCCCGCCCAAGGCTCAGGAAGTCCCAGCGCCGCCGCCGCATCTCCTGGCATGGGCGGAGAGGAGGGGGCCGAGGAGGCTAGGGGTTAAGGAAAGGGAGAGGGAGTGTAGGCCGTGGGTAAGAGGTGGAAGGGGCGCACTGCACGTTAATATGCAATGCGCTGTCTCTTGAGTCAGACTCCAATATCACCCCTTCCTGACTGTTAATATGGCAAATGAATGTGTTGCTATGCACGGGTGGGGGCATGCCATGCTGAAGAAGACAGCGGTGCAGAGCAGTGAAGCATGGTGCTATGGCGGGGCTTTTGACTGGGGGCAGTTGGCTCATGGTAAGTGCGTGGCCGTGGCTTGCCTCATCGAGCGCAAAGTCGAGGAAGAGCGAAGAAGCAGAGACAGGGGCAAGGTGCTCCCTGAGAGAGACACAAAGCGGCATGGGGGATAGGGGGTTGATGGAAAGGAAAAGAAGAAACGGAGTAGGAAGGGGGATGGGTGGAAAAGGAGAGACAATAAAGTCAGAGGAGCGAGCAAGGAATCGGCGCGGGGGATGACGGGAAGAGCGGCGGAAGGAATTAAGCAAAGAGAGAGTATGCAGTATGGGGGTACAGCCCTGCCCTGACATGGAGTGACCACTCTGGCATGGAAAGATGCATGCGGCATGTAACGACACACACGCCGTGGCTTCATTCATGCAACAGCAGACAGCAGCATGCACCAGAGCACATTCCCCAGAGCACATACGCCATGCCCCAGAGCACATACGGCATGGCGAGGATGGAGCCGTCGACGCATCTTCGGCCGCGGTAGAGCGTCCAGGGGCGCGCGTCCATGAAGAAGGGGATGTGCACCGACGCCAGGCAGCACGCTATCAGGTCGCCGCGCGATGGGAAGGCCGACACCACCTGCCTCTGGAACCACGGCGCGCTGAGGGGGAGAGAGGGAGAGGGAGAGGGGAAGGGGGAGAGGGGGAGAGAGGGGATGAGAGGGGATGAGAAGGGGGGAGAGGGGGAGAGGGGAGGGATGCCAGGGGATGGATGAAGGAGGGAATAGGGAAGAGAAATCACGAGGACGAGCCATGGGTTGAACGCTGTTGTTAGAAAATGGTAACTGGGAGAGTGATTGAGGGGGGAGGCGGAGGAGGAGACAGAGAAAAGTGGAGTGACAGCTGACGCTGAATATGAACGAGGGTATGCAGGGAGAAGGAAGTAGCGGTGAGAAAGAAGTACCGGTGGCGAATGGAGGGCAGCGTGACTATATGGAGGGAGAGGCGGTGGGTGCAGCGCATGTGAGCGTCGGGAGGGAGCATGAGGTCCAGCCACTCGCCCACCAGACGACCCCACACACCCGCCAGCCCTGGCGCACAGGGGTCCGATGCAGGGGGGACGCGGGAGGAGGACGGAGCAGCTTGCACACAAGAGAATGAGCTAGCAGTAAGCGGACAGGGAAGAGGTAGGTAACACTCGCTTGTACTCCCATCTGCTGGCCTTCCTCCCTGCCACTCTCTCCCCACCTGCCACTCTCCCCCCCCCCCCCCCCCCACCTGCCGCTCTTGCCCCGCCTGCCCCCCCCCCCACCTGCGGGTCTGTCCCACACCCCATTGGCGAGCGAGAGCTCAAAGGCGGTGCGGGCAGCGGCTCTGCCATCCACACCGCACGCGGTGAGCGTGGCGGCCAGCGCGCCCGCACTCGCGCCCACCAGCCGTGCATGCTCCACAGCCCCGTGCTGCGCGATGGTGGATGCTGCTCCCATCTGCCAGTAGAAGAACATGCCGCTGCACGCACGCACCGACACACGACACACCGACAAACCGACCGCCACGCCGCGTGGGGAGGATTGGGGGCAGAGAGAGAGAGAGAGTGAGACGCGAGGTAGAGATCTGCTGTTGCGTTGTGCTGTGAGCGTTACCTCGCTGCTTACTCATGCCAGGTGCGCGCCGGCGAGTGCAGGCGTGTCCGCCACGCACGCACGCATGACAAGCTCCCAACTGGTGCACGCAGCACCACATGACACTCACCAAACCACCCCAGAGCACCCCAGAGCACCCCAGAGCACACAAGAGCACACAAGAGCACCTACCCGCCAGGGAAGCACAGCACGGGTCGATCCCCCATGGGCTCCCCATCCACTTCCCCACTGCCCCGCCCCGCACTCACTGCTCCGCCCATCACGGAACCCCCTCCCCTGCCCGCCGCCGCCGCACTCAGCTCCGAAGCTTGAATCTCCCCTTCCCCACGCCCCCCTCTCTGCTCCCCTCCCCAAAACCCCGATTCCGCTGCACCGCTCGCCCTAGCTCGGACCGCTCTCCCCATCTGCTGCGCGCTTCCCTCGATTCTCCCGCCTCTCCGCGCGGCCACGTCACTCCCCCCGCATGCCCCCCCGTTTCCTGGCGCCCGCCACGCGCGCCACAGCCGTGAAGCACGGCCCAGCCGCTGCTGCACACCCCTTGCCCCTATGGCCCCTATCTTGCCGCGAATGCCGCCGCGAATTTCGCTGCGAATTTCACTGGGATTAGCAGCATATGGGAGGGCGGATGGTCGGCAACACGTGAAGACACAAGGGATTTGAGAAGCAAGTAGCGTGGATGAGGGGTAGTAGGAGGGCGAGGGGGAGGCGCACGGAGCGAGGGCGGAGGACACGGACGATGAGGGCGGGTGGATCAGCGTTTGAGGCGCCTTAAGAGAGCCATGCTGGGCGACAGGAAATGCACCCGGCACGCTCGCACGACGCGCTGGTGATGATAGCGGTCGGCGGCGAGGCGCGGAGTGTCGCGAGCCTGCGCGGTTATCGCCAGCGGTGCGTTGCGAGGGGCACGTGGCGCGCTGGGCCAAGTGCGCGGTGATCCGGCGGCCGGCGGAGGGCGTTGGAGGGTGCGCAGGGCGGAAATGAAGCGCGTGGGCGCAGCTCATGGTGCTGCGCGCGGAGGAACGGAGGAGGCGCGAGCAACGGCGAGCGAGCGCGGCGATCCGCGGGAGAGCGACCTCAGTGCGCGGTGCGATGATGCACGACGGGGGGCTGCGGCGCGGGGGAAGTGGGGACAGGGAGGAGTGAGCAGCGGGAGCAGCGCATGAGCGTCGCCAGATGGCTGCTCCGCGCCACTGCCGCTTCGAACCGGGCGGATTGGGCGGCGGACACGTGGCAAGAGCGGGCTGGGCCTACGATAGGCTCGTCGCCATGGACGGATGTGACAGGTGAGAGGCAGGGGCGCTGGGGAGCAACCCGTGTGGAGGCGCTGTCGGTGAGGCAGTGGTCAGATGTCTGCGCTAGAAGAAATCAAGGGGCACACGCGTAATGTACAACACATGACTTTCGATATTGAGCATTTCAATTCCATACCTTGTAAACGTCACGCGCCCCAACATGTTGGTGGTACATATACGCACTCATGAGAACTTCTGTAAACTTCTGTACACTCCTACCCAACACTGGCATCCTCCTCTTCCACTTCTCTCAATAACAAAACCATGAGAGCTCTATCCTCATGGCTTCTTGTTCCCTGCCCCTGTGCTGCTGCTTGCTGGAACACCTGCGGAATCCACAGTAATGCCAGCAGTGCCAGCATTGCCCGTAGTGCCCGCCGCTCGCTCGGCTGCTGAGGGCTTGTGCCGTGCATGCAGCCTCTGCCTCGCATGTCCGTTCACTGCATTGACTCCCTGGGCCCCGTTGACTCCCTTGTTCTTCCAGCGTGTCGCCTGCTGCACACGCGTACCCATGTGCCCTGCTGTTGCAGCATGTGCCTTCCCCTTAGCGCCCAGTCCGTGCTTCCTAGACCCAATGCGATTCTGCACGCCCCCCCCAATGCCACTCTTGGACACGGAACCCCACCATTTCTTGAACTTGCCCCACGCCTCACTCATCTTGCCTTGTGCTGTGCTTGCAGCACCACTCCCTCCAGAGCCAGCAGTGCCATAGTCAGTGTAATCCCCAGCGCTGTAGTCTCCACTGCTGTAGTCACCACCGGTATAGTCGCCATTGTAGTTATCCCCACTGTAGTCACCGTCAGTGCCGTTGCCATTGTAATCCCCCTCGTTGTAGTCATATCCACTGGCATCATCACTCCCATAGTCTCCGTTGTAGTCTCCGCCGCTATAGCCATCACAGTTGTCGTCCCCATCGCAGTTGCTACCATCATCAGTGCCGTCTCCACTCCCGTTCCCATAGTCATCCCCATTGCCATAATCACCACCATTGCCGTAATCCCCACCGTTTCCACCACCATAGTCCCCGCCGTTGTCACCCCCGCCGCCGTTGCCTCCCCCGCCACCATTGCCTCCCCCGCCGCCATTGCCTCCTCCGGTGCCGCCCCCAGTGGACCCGGTGCAGCTGAAGTCCACCGAAGCCTGGCCGCTGCAGTACAGACAGCACCATGATAGGACGCGGCGAAAAGGCAGGAGGGAGGGTCATTAGACTTGGGCAACCAGGTGGTGGGAGGCTAGCCACGTGATGCAGGCCAGTCAGAGGGGAACCTTGGATGGGATGTCACAATGCAGAATGATGACGATGATGATTGTGGTGGGTAATACTCAGGGGCATGGGCACTGCGTGCAGCGTGCATGCAGCGTGGATGCAGGGTGGGGGGCGGTTAGGGAGACGCACTAGTTGCCGCCATGGTTGGCGAGGGCGGGCGACTGGTCGCTGGAGAAGGCCCAGATGAGGGTGTTGCTGCCCGCCACGCTCACAGGCACGGCGCCATCGCCGGTCAAACGGGAGAACCTGCAACCATGATGAGGGGGGAAGCACGGAGTGCAATGGAAGCCGCGATTAGGAGGAACGCACATTCGAAATCCGCCGCCTAACCCGATTGGGGCACTGCCCAAATGACGAGTGGCCGTGTGAACTGAAGCGGCATGTATTGCTGCAATAGCATGATGTGCACTCGGACACCGGGTGTAGAAGAACATCGCGGTGCGTATCAAAATTCATGGCGCGAAAACGATACCGCGCGAGACTTACTTGATGAGCGAGCCGCCATTAGCCGACGACGCGGCGCCGATGGAGAACCGGCTGGTGGGCGTCACGTCCGACTCGCCGTATCCGTTTATCGCGTACGCCTTCACAGCGCCGCCCGGCAGGCCGCCGATCACGGCGTCGGAGCCGGTCATGCTGCCGTCTGGCGACCACGCCACAGACACCCACCCGCCTGCCGCGGCGCCGCCCACCTGCATGGCGAGGGAGACGCTGCTTCCACCCGCGGCGAGGGCCCAGTGAAGCACGAGACTGGCGCGGAGAGGTGGGGGAGAGTGGTGGGGAGATGGGGAAGGGCAAGGGTAAGAATGTTGTAGGGACCGATTCAGGAACAACGGGGGTTTTGGATAAAGGGTTTGTGGTTTCGGTGGCATCATGAAGGGGTGTGGACGGAGTTGCGCGAGGTGAGAGTGAGGGGACGAGTTAGGGAGCTTACTCGGATCCGGACAGGGTGACGGACGACGTGTAGCCTGCGATCGACGACTTCTCACAGCCTCCCGCCGCAGGACGCCTCACGCCGCCGCCGCCGGCGGTAGTACTAGCTGAGGCTGTCGCAGCAGCGACGCCGCTCTTAGGGGAGTGCTGCTGAGAGCCGGCGCCGCTGCCGCGCGCGGAGAGCCGCGCCATGGCAGCCTGGGCAGCAGCGCCCACGCTCCTCGGGCGCCTGGCTCCGTGCGGCATGCTGACCGCACGCGCTGCCAGGAATGCCGGGTGGACGAACAGCAGAAGGAGAAGCAGCGCGGCGGTTACAACGTTCCTGGCCGGTGCCGCCATCGTGGATGTGAGAGGTGGACGAGTCGGACTCGGCGCGATCCGCGGAGTGATCCGCAGAGGGGAGATTGGCATGCTGAAAGGAAGCACGTTGCTCCGAAAGCTACGAGACGTAGATCTACTACTACTTCTTGTGGAAGCTCGCCGGGTGCTCAGAGCTGATTCGAGGAGCTGTGTGAATGGATGAGTGGGACAGACTGACAGTGTGCTATTTGTATCCTGTCCAGGTCGCCATGTCTCGGGAATCGGGATATGGCGCGTGGTCGAGCGTCGAAGGTCGTTGGAGAGAGCTGCGGCACAAGGGGCAGCAACGCTGGAGTCGCTGCGCCACCGCCATTCCATCCGTACAGTGTTCCACCAAGGGGTTGGTTGGAGGAGCCATGTTGACACACCAAGACGATGGGGTGAAGTGGGGTTAGGGAGGTTTTGGGAGGGTACTGAGGGTGATACCAGATTTGCAACATTTCGCCCTGACTTTCCTCACATTTGCGGCTTGAAGAAACTTGTGGACAATGGGGTGGAGGTGTGTGACGTGGCTGGATGAAGTCGGGAATTGCGTTGACTGTTTCAACGCGTTGATGGATATCAATCGCACGTCAACGCCAGGTTTGTGCAACGCAAGAAATGTGTCGATATTATGTGCATGGTCGTCTCGATTCACTCATAGCCCGTATTTGAATATGGGCTAAGGCTAAAAGAGAAATAGGGAGCATTACCGGCACTTCATGTTAGCACCCTATTTGTAAGGAAATTCCCTTTTTCCTTACAGGGCTCGACTACAGAGCGTACGCCCTCGACTCTCGGAATTCCAGCCTCGGCCAACTCCTTCGGTCACGAACCACTTCGCGAACCCAAACCTCGACGTGCAGCGCTTCGGTGGCTTTTGTCAGCAACCCAGTGACTAACCACTGGGTTAAAAGAGCTTGTTAAATAGCGGGTAAGTGCGCCATAACCCCCCAGGCTCTGCACCTGTGGCCCCTTCCCCGAGGATCTTTTCAAGAGTTACCCAACGGGTCACTCGACACCCCCCTCTTAGAAACTTAGGACTAAAGGTTCTTAAACTTAGGAGGCTAGGTTGGCTAGGATACTAGGAAGAAGACCGCCATGGAATGGCGTGAGGAAAAACGGATCTAGGAAGGGAGGGAATGTCGAGAAGAAAGGGGGTTGGATTAGGAAGAGAGGGGAGTACAAGGAGGGGTTTGTACCCCCTACAGAAAGGTTCAGTAACAACTTACCAAGCCTATATTAAATTATAACTTATATAATTTTAACACACCCCCTAGGCTTGGTAGTGTCAAGCCCACGCACACCCCCACACCCACACCCACACCCACACCCCCTAGCCCAGCACCCCCATTCCCAGCAGCAGCCGAAACGACTCCGAAAGAGGGTAGGTCTCACGGCCCCTTGAGACGGCAATGGCGGCAGCAGCGACAGTGACGACAGCGGCGGCGGCGGCGGTGTGCAGCGGCTCCAGGCCTGCGGCAACAGCGGCGGCGCCGGGGGGCTCGAACGACAGAGGCTGGTGCGGCGGCCCCCGCCCTCTCGGCGGCATGTCCTGTCTCCTCGGCGGTGGAGAGGTCCCTCACATGGCAGTCATCGGCTGCAGCAAGAAAGGGGGGGATGCAGGGGAAGCAGGTGCAGGTGGGGGGGGGGAGGGGAGGGGGCGGGGCGAGGCGAGTCTTCAGCGACGCGCCATAAATGGCGCGGCGCTTACTGGCGGGAGGACGTCGTCCTGAGGGACGCCCGTCTGTGGCGAGCGGGCGGCAGGCCCGGCGACGCCACAGACGTCGCTCGGCCGGCCGCAGCCCGACGATGCCGTCAGCTGCCGCAGACGCCGCCACAACGCACCGTCAATGTCGCAGCGGCGAGGCGGAGGGGCGACGGCTGCACCAAGGGGCCGTCGCGACACCTTGGCGCCGCGACGGTAGGCAACGAGGGACCGTCGCGACATCTTGGTGCCGCGACGGCAGGCAACAAGGGGCCGTCGCGACATCCTGGCGCCGCGACGGCAGGCAACAAGGGGCCGTCGCGACAATATAGTGCCGCGACGGCAGGCACCAAGGGGCCGTCGCGACATCCTGGCGCCGCGACGGCAGGCTGGCAGAAAACCGCGAAGGCTGCGAATGCAGTAGGAGTACGCAACGGGAACGTAGGGAGAGGGTCCGGTGGACACGACCGGCTCTGATACCATCTTAGAAACTTAGGACTAAAGGTTCTTAAACTTAGGAGGCTAGGTTGGCTAGGATACTAGGAAGAAGACCGCCATGGAATGGCGTGAGGAAAAACGGATCTAGGAAGGGAGGGAATGTCGAGAAGAAAGGGGGTTGGATTAGGAAGAGAGGGGAGTACAAGGAGGGGTTTGTACCCCCTACAGAAAGGTTCAGTAACAACCTACCAAGCCTATATTAAATTATAACTTATATAATTTTAACACCCCCCTCACTGGGAAAGATGGACAAGACTCTGCATTGCTGGCACTAGGACTAGAACCCAAGACCTTTGGCTCTGATGTACCATGTCAAGAACCCAATCAGTAACCATTGGGCTAAAATGGCTTGCTAAACAGCGGGTAAATGCGCCCATAACCCCCCAGGCTCTGCACCTGTGGCCCTTCCCCGAGGATCTTTTCAAGGGTTACCCAGCGGGTCACTCGACAGCTTTCGCCAACTATATCGCCCCAACATGTTCGCGTGGTTCTCGGCTAGCTCTGTTCGTGCCTATAAATGCCTAGGCCCTCATTTGTATCGACACTCTTGAATCACGACTCCTTTATTACACTTCCTGTTATTACTCTGATTAATTCTTAACAATTGGTATTAGAGCCACGTTCCTGCCCGCTTAGTCTTCCGTAGAGTAGTCCAATTATATTGGGAGAGGACGCGACAGAATAGAGGGTTGGCCAGCGGTTGGTAGGCGAGCTCGTTAAAGCTCCTCCAACTAAAAGCGTGTGCACCCTCAGATCTGTCAGGTAAAATTTCCAGCATGGCTAGCACGCCGAAAACCTCTGCCCGTCGTAGTGTTAGGAACGTGACTTAGGAGGAGTTTGACGAGTTGCAAGCCAGGGCGGCTACAGTGACGACACTGCAGGCCCAGCTTCAACAACTCGCGGACAAGTTAAAGCCGCTGGGAAGCGAAGTTCAGACGCTGCGCAACGAAAACTCGTTGTTTCGCCAGACACGGGGTGAAACGCGTCAGGAGCGGCCTGTTACCCGAGACGAGGATGCTGCGAGCGAAGCGAGGGCGCCGGCGACACCTGAAGCAGTTGAAGAAGTCCACATCGAGCCGCGAGCGGCCATTAAAATCAAGCCTCCGATGCCCCCACCGTTCAACCCGACCGACAGGACGACTACAGTGAGCGGGTGGCTGTTCGCCATGGAAATCTTCTTCACGGCAGCAAGTATTAATGACAATGCCTCACGTGTCAACTTGGCTGTGTCGCTGCTGAGGGGACCAGCAATCGACTGGTGGCGCATGCATCTCGACGGGGGAGGAGCTCCGGCAGGGAATCAACGAGCGGCAGCTGGGGAGATGAGTTTATCAGTGGCTAAGGCAGAACCAATCTTTCGATCGGCCACGATCCGCACGTGGAAAGCGTGGGGCGAGGCGTTAAAGGACAGATTCGAGCAAATATCCATGCGCGAAAATGCTCGCACAAAGCTTCGGATGTGGAGACAGTTGGGCTCTGTCCAAGAATACACGGCGTCGTTTCTGGCAATCTGCGACCAAATCGGAGGGATCAGCGAGGACGAGAAAGTTGATCGCTACGTGGGCGGACTCAAGCCGGAGATTCAGCAAGAAATCGTCATGCGAGCCCCGACGACCTTCAACGAGATCGTTCGCATAGCAGGCGCGCTGGACGCACGACGTGGACTCGCGAGAGCGGGTTTTCGGGAGGGAAATCGCTTTCGAGGCCAGCCCCAACACACATCAATCAACGGCGTGGACGTGTTTGCAGCCCGAGTTTTTTCGGGGACCTGCTTCCACTGCAACCAGCCGGGTCACATGGTGAGGGACTGCCTGCAGCTGAAGGAGAACTTACCTAATGACAAGAAGCAGTCGGGAAATGGAGATCGTCAGTAGCAGATGAGCCACCTACTGACTTGACTGCGTCACCCAAACGCCACCACCCCCACCAGATTATAGTGCCGATTTGGGCTATCGACCATTCCTGGCTGAATAAGGGGGGTGAACCGATTGATCACCCTGTGCTGGTCGAAGGGAGAGTTGGCGACACCCACATAAAATTATTCGTTGATGGCGGGGCGAGCCACAGTTTGATGGATGTGACGAAGGCAAAAAAATTGCGACTGCAACTGGAGCGCTGCATGCCGGAAATCGACGCGAGATTGGTCGACGGCACACCACTGGCAATTCGGGAGCAAGTACCTCACGTGCGAGTTACATGCGGCGAAAATTTCAGCTTCACGACGAAGATGCTGGCGGCAACGTTGGACGGCTGCGACATTCTGCTGGGACGCGATTGGCTGCGCGAATACAACCCGAATATTGACTGGCGGAGGGGTGACTGCCGCATCAAATGGAGTGGCGAGTGGCGAAGACTTCCAAAGTGGAGCAGTCAAGATTCTGCGACATCGACAGTCAGCGCGGTTACCATCAAGCGAGCTATGATTCGCGGGGCGCAACTGTATGCCGTCCGATGGATCGCATCCACGGCTGTCGACGCACCAGCCGACATCGACAAACTCTGCGCAGCTGTTCCAAACGGTTTGGCAACATTGATTCGCAGGCACGCCGACATTTTTCCAGACGACCTACCGGCGGGTTTGGCACCTGAGCGAGACCACGACCACAAAATCGAGTTGGAGCCCGACGCGCAATCGACTGTTTGGACTCAATGGAGGCTGGCTCAGCCATAGCTGGATGAAATTCGATGCCAGCTGGACTACCTGCTCGAGAAAGGTTTCTTTCACCCCAGCACTTCACCGTTCGCAGCTCCGATTCTGTTCACCCCGAAGAACGATGGCGGTCTACGAATGTGCATCGACTACCGCGCCTTGAACCGGGTTACCATAAAGTCCCGCTACCCTATACCACGTGCCGACGAACTCATCGACCAGCTTCGTGGAGCCAAGTTCTTTCGAAAATTGACCTGCCAGGCGGTTACCATCAAATCCGCGTGAACGAAGCTGACTGCTACAAGACGGCGTTCCGGAACCGGTAC